AAGAAATATATCCTAGCATTGTGTAATTTTAATTACAGTTTTTATGTAAAATATATATAATCAACACTAAGGTTATACGGACCCTCATGAACGTGGTAAGCAGAAGTTGTACGCACATGGAATGGGGTAAAATACGGAAGCCATTTAAATTCACACATTTTTACCGATGTTACTGTAAACTAGCAGTCAATGGAAAACGAGGCGGTAATCAGTTCGTGATTGTTGAATGGGGTAAAATAAGCAAGCCAGTTTGTTGCTACAATAAATATGATATTTAGAGAAACAAAATATATTATGCATTTTCTGTCAACTACACTTCGTTTCGATCCGTGAGTAGACGCACAATATATATGATTGTGAATTCTTTGAATAATGTGGACCAAAGTTATAATTATTGGTAACTGCCAGTTGTCTGTGGTCTGTGTTTGCCGCGATTAGGACCCCATCGTGGGGATCGACTTATGCACGAAACATATTATTTTGACACTGATTTTAAGGATCAAGTTTGGGGGTCGTCTTATTCATGGGGTCGTCTTATAGATGGTCGTATACGGTACATTATATCAGGGTTATGGCATTGCAGTTTGGTATATATATGGTTTACACAGTAATGCGGTCAGTTATTAAATAGAAAACAGAGAGGGGTTATTGGCCATTATATCCAGTCTTAAGCACTGACAGATGTGAGAGTGAATGAGCTGTCCTTCTAATTGGACAGTATTGCAAGTATCCCTGAATAAAATCACTTATCCTCAAAGAATAGTATTACTCGTCGCTGACTGAATAGTGTTAGTTAGTCCTTCACTGGAAAGTGTTAATAGAATTTCTCTGAATATTAATACTACTCACGGCACTGTTACTTCCCCATTCTCAGTGAATAGTATTATTAGTCGCTCAGTGAATAGCATTACTTAAGCCGCAGCTTCTCGCTGATAAATGTTACAGTCCCTATCACAGAATTGTGTTGTCTCACACTGGCAAGCGTTAAGGCATTTTGTATGATGTTAATAAGCCTTCACTGCATGGTACTACTATTGCTTTGATGAATTGTATTACTTACCCAAAACAAGTAGTATTACTGATCCCTCACTGAATGTTACTAATCCCTTTAGGCTTTACTAACCCTTCTCTGAATATTATTACTAGTGTTCCCAAGAATATTCATACTAGCCTTGGGCAGTGGGGTAGCCTAATGGTTAAAGTGTTGGCTCGTCACGCCGAAGGCCCGGGTTCGAATCCCCACATGGGCACAATGTGTGAAGCCCATTTCTGGTGTCCCCTGCCGTGATGTTGGAGGAATATTGCTAAAAGCGGCGTAAAACCAAACTCAGTCAGTCAGTCATACTAGCCTTGGGCGGTGGGGTAGCCTAGTGGTTATAGCGTTCGCCCGTCACACCGATGACCTGGGCCTAGATTTTCGATGCTCCCTTAGCTCTCAGATAGTTGTAAGTGCCATACATAAACATTAACTTACGACTATCTTAGCGCTAAGAGAGCTTCGAAAATCTAGGCCCTGGTTTCGATTCCCCACATGGGTACAATGTGTGAAGCCCATTTCTGGTGTAACCACCCGTGAAGGTCCGGGTTAGAATGAACCTTCAGTAACCCATGCTTGTTATAAGAGGCGACTAACGGGATCTGGTGGTCAGGCTCGCTGGCTTGGTTGACGCATGTCATCGGTTTCCAATTGCGCAGATCGATGTTCATGCTGTTGATCACTGGATTGTCTGGTCCAGACTCGATTATTTACAGGCCGCCGCCATATAGCTCTAATATTGCTGAGTGCATCATAAAACTAAACTCACTCACTCACTCTGGTGTAACCTGTCGTGATATTGCTGGAATATCGCTAAAAGCGGCATAAAACCAAACTCACTCACTCACTCACTCACTCATACTAGTCCTTTTCTGAATAGTGTTGTTACTACACACTGATGAGAGTTACAGTTCTTTTGCAGAAGAGTGTTACTCTTCCTCACATATCACTACTAGTCCTAACAATATAGCATGGGTGGAAATAACTTTAAAATTGATAGTGTACTCCGGTACATGTAAAGTCACTTGCTCTGATAATTTTGCCACTATACCGACTGTTTTCTTGCTGATTTTTTAAATAAACAACATAATTAACATTGGAAAGTCAACTGGACACCGGTACAGTGTGATATACAAATTTGCTTGCCCGACAGAAAAAACACTGGACTCGGACGTCGGGCAATGGGTTATTTCCACCCCTGTATAGTATTTGTAATCACTTATTGAATGATACTTGTTCCTCACCAAATCATATTACTTGTCCCATGTAAATAGAAATGCTGTTTCCTAGTCCTTTGCTAAATAGTATCACTAATTCCTTGCTAGATAATGTTCCCAGTCTATCGCTGTTTTGTTACAAGCCTTCCTATACATGACTAGTCCTAACCAAATAGTATCACTAATTCCTTGCTAGATAATGTTCCCAGTCTATCGCTGTTTTGTTACAAGCCTTCCTATACATGACTAGTCCTACCCAAATAGTATCACTAATTCCTTGCTAGATAATGTTCCCAGCCTATCGCTGTTTTGTTACAAGCCTTCCTATACATGACTAGTCCTAACCAAATAGTATCACTAATTCCTTGCTAGATAATGTTCCCAGCCTATCGCTGTTATTTACAGAAGCCATAGCCTATACAAGCCAAATGGTATCACTAATTCCTTGCTAGATAATGTTCCCAGTCTATTGCTGTTTTGTTACAAGCCTTCCTATACATGACTAGTCCTAACCAAATAGTATCACTAATTCCTTGCTAGATTCCTTGCTAGATAATGTTCCCAGCCTATCGCTGTTTTGTTAAAGCCATCCTATACATGACTAGTCCTAACCAAATAGTATCACTAATTCCTTGCTACATAATGTTCCCAGCCTATCGCTGTTTTGTTACAAGCCTTCCTATACATGACTAGTCCTAACCAAATAGTATCACTAATTGCTTGCTAGATAATGTTCCCAGTCTATCGCTGTTTTGTTACAAGCCTTCCTATACATGACTAGTCCTAACCAAATAGTATCACTAATTGCTTGCTAGATAATGTTCCCAGCTTATCACTGTTTTGTTACAAGCCTTCCTATACATGACTAGTCCTAACAAAATAGTATCACTAATTCCTTGCTAGATAATGTTCCCAGCCTATCACTGTTTTGTTAAAGCCTTCCTATACATGACTAGTCCTAACAAAATAGTATTACTAATCATTCACTGGATGTTACCAGTCCCTCAATGAATATATAGTTTATTCCTACACTCTGATATGTGTAACCTTTTCTTTGCAGAATAGGGGCGGTGGGGTAGCCTATTGGTTAAAGTGTCCACTCATCATGCCGAAAACCTGGGTTCAAGTCCACACATGGGTACAATGTGTGAAGCCCATTTCTGGTGTCCCCTGTCGTGATATTGCTGGAATATTGCTAAAAGCGGAATAAAACCACACACCCTCACTCACTCCTAGCTGAATAGTGATAAAGTTCCTCACATGGCATTACTAGTACCTTACTAAATATTATTAGGGCAGTGGGATGGCCTAGTGGTTAAAGTGTTCACTCATCACGCCGAAGACGTGGGTTTGATTACCCACATGGGTACAAAGTGTGAAGTCCATTTCTTATGTCCCCTGCTGTGATATTGCAGGAATATTGCTCAGAGCAAGGTAAAACTCAACTCAGTTGCTGTTAAATGTTATTACTAGTCCCAACTAAATAGAATTTCTAATTGCTCCCATTAAATGTTACTTGTTCTTCACTGAATAGTGTTAATAGCCATTCACTTAAGTTTTTCTAGACTTTTAAGGAATAGTGTTTTTATTAGACACTAATAAATGTTCACAGTATTTTGTTGAATAGTGTCATTGTTCTTCCATATTACTACACCCTTGCTAAACAGTATGACTAGTCATAACAAATTTGTATTACTGCAAATTGCTGGACATTGCTGGAATATTGCTAAAATCATCGTGAAACCATACTCACTCACTTATGCAGTTTTGCTTGCCCCACATCAGTCTTCTGTTGCTTGGCCTTTCACTGAATAGTTTTCCTTATTTTCTTGCAATGTTAATGGCGGTGGTGGGGCAGCCTATTGGTTAAAGCGTTGGCTCGTCACGCAGAAAACCCGGGTTCGAATCCCCACATGGGTACAATGTGTAAAGCCCATTTCTGGTGTTCCCCCGCCGTGATGTTGCTGGAATATTGCTAAAAGCGGCGTAAATCCAAACTCAGTCAGTCAGTCTTGCAATGGGGGTGGTGGGGCAGCCTAGTGGTTAAGTGTTCGCTCGCCACGCTGAAGAATCAGGTTTGATTCGCCACATGGGTACAATGTGTGAAGCCCATTTCTGGTGCCCCCCCACCATGATATAGCTGGAATATTGCTAAAAGTACCGCAAAACTAAACTCACTCAGTCTCTCACAATGTTGATGTAAGTCCTCATATGACTCTACAACCCCCCCCCCCTATCAGTCACACCATCCTCAAGTCTGCGTGCTACAGCGGCCAGCCTCCTCTCGCCGTGACCAGACATAACTGTTTGTCATGCTAAGCTTGAAACCAGCCTAACATCATATACATTAAGCAATAGCAATCAATACCCATTCCATTTGGATCTTAAAAAGTCAAAACAACTCTTATTGACGTGCCTAACCCATCATTTCAGTGCTAATACACACATACTAAATATTTCATGCAGTGGGCATATGGCAGTTCATTTCACGGTCATCGAACCATGGCACGGTCAATGGTAAAAATCACTATGGAGGCGGTCATTTAAGGAAAACAATTATCATGATACAATAACCCATTGAACAGGGAATCTCTTCACGCACTGTCATTGCTGCACGTGCCCCGAAAATATTTACATACCATCCATGGTGCCAGGCCTACGAGGGAGAGTAGTGGCTATAATGTTGTCATGGTTACATTGATCAATATAATGTATTATCTGAAATTATTGGGCTGCGTGTAGAAGGCGAGATGCAATTCCTGCCGTCCCATGTAGAGACAGAGCTGACCATTGGCTAGTGGGTGTATAAATCGGGTGGCTGGTCACAATTCACCGACAGGGCCACACTTGGGAGGAAGAGACAGTGAAATATTAATGAGCCGTGTTGAGGGAGAAGTTAGTGTAATTAGGGCAAACTGTACAGTGTGATGCCTGTGACAAGCATGTTTATATAGACAGAAGGCTGCTCTCACCAACACATGTGCCATTGATTATCAATGTAAGTGGTTTCCAAGGAGGATAACAGTTTTGTTTTATGTGATTGACAGGAAGCTTATCCATGCCATTGATTTGTGATGTCACGGCGACTGTCAAGGAATTTCACCCCAGCCGGATAAACTGTCAGCAGTGTTATTCTGTTTATTGGTAACCATTCAACAGCAAGTCCCTGTCAATATCAGAGCAAATATGTGCCTTGCTTGAATGTGTATTGTGTATACATGCCGACTAGCTGACCACTTGTAATAGACGTGTCTGTTTCCTCTCCTTGCAGATCCGGAGTGTATAGACTGGTGGTGGGTGATATGGACTCGTATTCCCTGGCTGGGCTCAGCTAGTGTGTGTCATGACTAGGATATACATTACTATGGGACTTGCTGTTGATGGATATAGACGGTGAAACAGGTGAGTGTGCAGACAAGGTCAATGTTACTCCATTAGGGGCTGAGGTGGGGGATATAGCGCATTATAGCACAGGAAATACAGATTAGCCCTCATTAGTCTCCGGGACAGCATTACAAGGGCATTGTGTCTAAATACATCACGGGAGATGTCAATGCAGATGGAGTAGACTGATGTATTGAGAAGATAAATGCAAGCATAAATCTTGCCATGTGGTAATTTAGCTGAATTCCTTCCGAGAAAAGTCTTTCAATGTTTCAAAATGTTTATTCAAATGATTGCGGATTGAATGACCTTGAGAATATTTTGACACATCCTCAGGAGCATTTAACTGTGTGTGATGATTGCAGTGTCTCGAACAATTCAGATGACTCAAATTGATCAATTAGATAAATGTCAACGTACGTTGTACGTATAGTCTTATCTCTTGATGATATTTTGTGAAATTACTGCTGGTCCCCCATCAAATATAAATTGGATTTTATGTATATATTTGGTTAATTTCAAAGAAACATGAAATGTAGGGATTTTTACTTGATCTCCTAAGATGTTGATATTTGCAAAAACTGCAGCAAGTATTTCCTTAGTTGATGGTAATTTAGTTATAACTAATGGTATGACTATGTTGAGATGACTTACCTTTCAGCGATAACCAACTTATAAAGAGAAAGTCTTTTAAGAATACCACTAAGTGAAATGACACTATTACAATAAATGCACAGTCTGTATGATGATAAAATACTTTTGAATTATTGAAAGTAAGAATGAAATAATGATATCTTTCTAATATGTTGCCAGTCCAAGGCAAATCCCAGATGTGGAAGAAGCAGTAACCTTGATTGATGTGTTTTGTTTGGTGGACCTAAGCAACATAGACGTCTTAAGCTTTTCTTTTATTTGATCTTTCATCTGTTTTGCGATAAATGTTAAATGAATTTTACAGAGACATACCTGGCCCAAGATATAAGTAGTAGCTACACAGAATTTGTAAAGATGTATTTTGAAGAAATTTATGCAAGAAATTGTGAAAATTGTTGACAGTGGAATTTGTTGGATGCATTGGCTAATTCATTCTTAGATGTTTGATTGGCATTTTAGAAGATGCTTTTTGATGAACATTATAAGTTGTTCACTGGTCACGAGGGGGGCTCAGGGAACATAAACAAACATCGAGGGTACACAAACCCATGGGCCCCGAGGGACCAGTGAACAACGTATTTGCATTCGCAAAACATCAGTAATTTCCGTACATCAAACGTGATTCAATGTTTTTCGAGATAAAGAATTACTACCACGAAGTACCAAATGAGTTGCCATTGACAGCGGGGTACATTGAAATGTTACTCGCTTGTAAGCGGGGTACATTGAAAATAATAGAAGAGCGCTCAGCCAATCAGTAAGCGACATTTATGTGTGAGGTAAGATAAAGAGAATTGTCTGGGTTTCATCTTATTTTTATTGCTTCGTACAACGTTTCAGGGCTTGTTCAGGCCCCATCATCAGGTATCATCATTGTTCTTTAGTTCTCCCAATTGCTTAGACTGATGCTCATACTGTTGATCACTGGATTGTCTTGTCCAGATTTGATTATTTATAGACTGCCGCCATATAGCTGGAATATTGCTGGGAAAGTTTCTGAAAGTTTATTAATAAATTAATTACCAAACTTATACAAATATTTACATTTAGACTCTGGCTTCCTCCTTCAATCTACCTTTTCCCTTCACGTTTAAAGTCATTGTATGTTCAGTACTTGCAGCAAATATGTTTAGATGCTTATGAGAGACTAGTGGCTTTCTGTAAGTAAGCTTTACACAGTTAAGATTTTCTTGTGCTATACCTGTTCCATTGAGAGATTTCCAGTTAGGGCAGATATCAGTTAATACACAGAAAACCTCCATGCTTTGAACATGTGACAAAGGGCTACCCTTTTCCAAATTACATATAAATTGAACTTTAATTTTTATTTGGGGTTTTATCAAAAACATACTGATTCAATACTCATTTTCTCAATTTGTCAAACTGGATGAATTATTGCATATATTTTATTTGATTATCTGTATTTATTTCTGATAAAAATATAACAATTAGACTTTTACTCTGAATTCTGTAATGAAGGTTAATCAGTCATCTGCTCAGCTTCTACATGCCTCGTACATGACTCCCAGTAGGTATCTACTTGGCTCCCAGCATTGATCATCTGATGGAATAATTTAGGTTTGATTAGGCTTTAACTGTTGTCCTTTTTCATTACAAGATCTAATAAGACTATAAGTAGACATGTAGCTTGTAGTAGATTACACATTTTCATAAGGTGTGAAGTTTTGTGGTTCAGCTGGTCTGCCTGTGACGTGTAGGTTCTGTGACATCACAACATGAGGCATAACTACTAACCTTGGGACTGCTGGCTGTCACATCAGCCTCACAGTTTTTGACAGTTTGATTACCGTGTCATCATGTCAGCAATATAATATCAGAAGCTTGCAAGTTAAAAAATGTGTGGACTCTCTATCTGTATACTGTAATTTAGCCATGACAGATGCACTGGGTATAGTTGTATGGTAATTTAGCCATGCTAGACCAACTGTATAGACGTATGGTAATTTAGCCATGGCTCACCTACAGTGTGTAGGTGTCAGGTAATTTAGCCATAGATCACCTACAGTGTGTGGGTGTATGGTAAATTAACCATGGCAGACCTACCGTGTGTAGGTGTATGGTAATTTAGCCATGGCAGACCTACAGTGTGTAGGTGTATGGTAATTTAGCCATGGCAGACCTACAGTGTATAGGTGTATGGTAATTTAGCCATGGCAGACCTACAGTGTGTGGGTGTATGGTAATTTAGCTATGGCAGACCTACAGTGTGTGGGTGTATGGTAATTTAGCCATGGCAGACCTACAGTGTGTAGGTGTATGGTAATTAACCATGGCAGACCTACAGTGTGTAGGTTTATGGTAAATTAACCATGGCAGACCTACAGTGTGTAGGTGTATGGTAATTTAGCCATGGCAGACCTTCAGTTTTTGTGTGTATGGTAAATTAGCCATAGATCACCTACAGTGTGTGGGTGTATGGTAATTTAGCCATGGCAGACCTACAGTGTGTGGGTGTATGGTAATTTAGCCATGGCAGACCTACATGGCAGATCTACAGTGTAGGTGTATGGTAATTTAGCCATGGCTCACCTACAGTGTGTGTATGGTGTATGGTAATATTAGCCATGGCAGACCTACAGTGTGTAGGTGTGGTAATTTAGCCATTTACAGTGTGTGTGTGTATGGTAGTTTTGTGTGTAATGGTTTGCCAAGGCAGACCTACAGTGTGTAGGTGTATGGTAATTTAGCCATGGCAGACCTACAGTGTGTAGGTGTATGGTAATTTAGCCATGGCAGACCTACAGTGTGTGGGTGTATGGTAATTTAGCCATGGCAGACCTACAGTGTGTAGGTGTATGGTAATTTAGCCATGGCAGACCTACAGTGTGTAGGTATATGGTTATTTAGCCATGGCAGACATACATTTTATGGGTATATGGTAATTTAGCCATGGCAGACCTACAGTGTGTAGACGTATGGTAATTTAGCTATGGCAGACCTACAGTGTGTAGGTGTATGGTTATTTTGCCATGTATGGTAATTTAGGGGCGGTGGGGTAGCCTAGTGGTTAAAGCGTTGGCTCGTCACGCTGAAGGCCCGGGTTTGAATCCCCACATGGGTACAATGTGTGAAGCCCATTTCTGGTGTCCCCCGCCGTGATGTTGCTGGAATATTGCTAAAAGCGGCGTAAAACCAAAACTCAGTCAGTCAGTGTATGGTAATTTGATCATAGACCCATAAAGTAGACTTCAGCTAATATTGAACATGCTTTCTTTTCTTGATGTGTCCATCGACTGAATTATGGTTGTGTTAACAGAAAATGCTGTCATAGACAATTGGTTGGCCTGGTACACTTATATACAGTCCACAGACTTCAGAGTCTAGCTGTTGGATTGCACTCTGACCAGGCTGCTGAGGGGCTTTGGGGTAGCCTAGTGGTTTAAGCGTTTGCTCGTCATGCCAAAGACCCAGGTTCGATTCCCCACATGGATACAATATGTATTTGTCATGGTCAAATTGCTAAATCTGACAGTGGGTTATAATCATCTGTATTAACCCATTTAGTGCCAGCTTGGTCAGAGCTCTAGCACTCTGGCCAGTGAATTATGGACAAAAATTATTTAAATGAAATTTTCTATGTGCTTCAGTATGTGAGTCACGTAGGAAATAGTTATATTTGATGTTTATTACTCATTTTTCTGGCTTAGATCATTAAACCAGTCGGCATTATAACACGTATGAGAAGTCAAGGATGTGCAAAGGTCCTGTATATGGGATACCATTACAAGAGATGCATCAAGTGAGTGTGTTGTATATGATAGTTATTACAGAGAATATGATGCGTGATAGGAAAGATGATGTGTGCAGCTACGGATACAATATGGGACGGAATATTCTGCACATTGCATAGGATACATAATGTGGGTGGAATATATTAAAGGGAATGCATACTATGGTTGAGATACGATCCCTGACTGATGGGATGCAATATGTGAGTGGAATAGGTTGTGTATTACACAGGATACATAATGTGGGTGGAATATGTTGTGTATCACACAGGATACAATATTTGGGTGGAATATGTTGTGTATCACATGGGATAAAATATGTGGGTAGAATATGTTGTGTATCACACAGGATAAAATATTTGGGTGGAATATGTTGTGTATCACATGGGATACAATATGTGGGTAGAATATGTTGTGTATCACATGGGATAAAATATGTGGGTAGAATATGTTGTGTATCACATGGGATAAAATATGTGGGTAGAATATGTTGTGTATCACATGGGATAAAATATTTGGGTGGAATATGTTGTGTATCACATGGGATACAATATGTGGGTAGAATATGTGGGTAGAATATGTTGTGTATCACATGGGATACAATATGTGGGTAGAATATGTTGTGTATCACACAGGATAAAATATTTGGGTGGAATATGTTGTGTATCACATGGGATACAATATGTGGGTAGAATATGTTGTGTATCACATGGGATAAAATATGTGGGTAGAATATGTTGTGTATCACATGGGATAAAATATGTGGGTAGAATATGTTGTGTATCACATGGGATAAAATATTTGGGTGGAATATGTTGTGTATCACATGGGATACAATATGTGGGTAGAATATGTTGTGTATCACATGGGATACAATATGTGGGTAGAATATGTTGTGTATCACATGGGATAAAATATTTGGGTAGAATATGTTGTGTATCACATGGGATACAATATTTGGGTAGAATATGTTGCGTATCACACAGGATACAATATGTGAGTGGAATATGTTGTGTATCACACAGGATACAATATTTGGGTAGAATATATTGTGTATCACACAGGATACAATATGTGAGTGGAATATGTTGTGTATCACACAGGATACAATATGTAGGTAGAATATGTTGTGTATCACACAGGATACAATATATGGGTAGAATAATATATGGGATACAATATAGAATATGTTGTGTATCACACAGGATACAATATGTGGGTAGAATATGTTGTGTATCACACAGGATACAATATGTGGGTAGAATATGTTGTGTATCACACAGGATACAATATGTGGGTAGAATATGTTGTGTATCACACAGGATACAATATGTGAGTAGAATATGTTGTGTATCACACAGGATACAATATGTGGGTAGAATATGTTGTGTATCACACAGGATACAATATGTGAGTGGAATATGTTGTGTATCACACAGGATAAAATATGTAGGTAGAATGTTGCGCATCACACAGGATGCATACTGTGTGTGGGATACGATTCGTATTCCATAAGATACAATAAGTGGGTGAGATAATTACCATATATCCCACTGGTCACCACTGAGCATGTCTGATAGTGAGACTGGATGCTGAAAGTTTGGTGTCTTGTATTGTATTGTTTCTCATTACCCTTTCCTTCTGCGTTTCGATTGATTTCATGGCGATGTTGACATAGCCATGTGGTTGAAGCATTCTGTCGTGATGCTGCACATCTGTGTCTCATTCTCAGAATTGCGACTGTCTGGTGAATAAATTTATCCTGTCCTCAGCTGTGGACTAAATACACCATTTGTATTATTAAACACTATATATCAAAGACAAGATTGTAAGTCAAGTTTTTTTCTGAGTTGGTTTGTCGCTCTTTACAAAGGGTGTTAAGAAGGCTTTGTTTACTCAGTAAATAGAATGAATAAAATCATAACATAATGCTGGCTTCTGCACCATGATCAACTGGATGTGCTTCATAAATATTTGTTCATGGTATTTATTTTGATGTATGTAGCTGTAAGGATTACGTTCATGATTATAATCAGTCTTGCTCCGCACAATTACAGCACCCAGTTGCTGCTTGAGGCTGGCCAGAATATAACGTGCTACATACGTTCTTATCCATCTTTCACCTGATTGCATAAAACAGATCTTGTATATTGTTGTTAGGACATGTTAAGTACATCTAAAGGTAAATTCCACTCAGTCCTTTAAGGACTGGGAGTCTGATGGGCATAACATGTGAAAGAGTATGTTTGTAGGATACTATGTATGAAAGGGGATACAGTGTGGAAGTGCTAGATGGAGGTACAATGTGTTAGTGGGATACAATGTGTATAACAGGACATACACTGTGTTAGTGGGATACAATATAAATCAAGTCATACAATGTGTTAGTGGGATACAATATTAATCAAGTCATACAATGTGTTAGTGGGATACAATGTGTACTACAAGGAATACAAACTGCTAGTGGTATTTGATGTGTCATGAAGGGGACACAATGTGTTTGTGGGATCAAATGTTCATTACCGTAATGTGTATATACTCAACAGTTTTGGTAACTGTGGGATTTATTCACTCACTCACTCACTGATTGTATTGTCAACACTATCCAAACTTACATCACAAGCAGTCAGTCAGGAATAAATGATGTCTGGCAAGCCATGTTTAAAGCTGAATAGCTGTATGTTAATGTAATAAGTTGTTCATAAATGTGTGTAAGTGAGAAGTACATAACATTTGTGGACCATTCTGACAGTGAGTCATCACAAGCTGGTCGCAACGAGCCGTATATCCCAACACTGCAGCAACGAGCCGTATATCCCAACACTGCAGCAACGAGCCGTATATCCCAACACTGCAGCAACAAGCTCTCTTGTCATAGCACAAAGTCAGATATAACCACTCCTGTATTACTCAGAGACTTTCAATATAAATTTCCAGTTGACAAAGGCGACAGAGCCAGCCTGAATCTAAGCCTTTGACCAGGGGCCTACAGAACTACTGGGACCTATATTCTATATTGCCCTGATGCTGGTGGTTAATACATGCATCTCTCTTGGCCAAACTGCTATTGTTTTTCCCTAGGGTTAGGTTGACTTACACTCTTGGTTTTCTTGCTGTCCATATATTGTGGTATGTAGCCTCTGTGGCCCTGTTTCTGAAGGAATATCATGATGCATATTGGGAGTATTCAACTTTGGTTATAATGAACTCGAAGTGACCACTAATTTTAGTTTGTTATAACTATAGTTTGTTGTATATGTCCTATCTAAAATATACAACAAATGGCCAGGACAATAACACAGGCCGTTACATCCGACAGTTCAAGTCTGAGCGGTGGGGTAGCCTAGTGGTTAAGGCGTTTGCTCATCACACTGAAGACCCAGATTCGATTCCCCACGTAGGGACAATGGGTGAAGCCCATTTCTCGTGTCACTTGCCGTGATATTGTTGTAATATTGCTAAAAGCAGCACAAAGCTAAACTCACTCACCTGGGTCTTTGGCATGACCAGCGAACACCTTAACCGCTACACTACCTCACCGCCACAGATCACACTGAAAACATGAGCAGTAAAGTTTCCAAGCTCAGGATGTGTAATGATCTGACACTGGTTTTGTAAAGTGAGAATTCCACACTTCCTACATGGCTTTCTTGCACTTACATTATGCTTTGTGATATGTATCAGTTTAACACCCATGTATGTAATAAATAACATTTTCTACCAACCAATCTACAGATTGTTATTGAGAATGAGCTGGACTATTGCTGAGTATGTTGTTGTTATACACAAACTACTAGAATAATAATGACCTTGAAACTTATGTCCTAAATGACCAGTCTCCCCATTTGTCTGTCTCAGAGTCCCTGAACCACATTAAGGGGCGGTGGGGTAGCCCAGTGGTTAAAGTGTTCGCTCATCATGCTGAAGACCTGTGTTCGATTCCCCAAATGGGTACAATGTGTGAAGCCAATTTCCATGATATTGCTGGAATATTGCTAAAAGTGGCATAAAACCACACTCACTCACTCTCTCTCTCTCTCTCTCCTCCTCCTCTCTCTCTCTCTCCTCTCTCTCTCTCTCTCTCTCTCTCTCTTCTCTCTCCTCCCTCTCTCTCTCTCTCTCTCTCTCTCTCTCTCTCTCTCTCTCTCTCTCTCTCTCTCTCTCTCTCTCTCTCTCTCTCTCTGTGTGTGTGTGAACCACATTATTTTCCCTTCTAAGTTTTTTCTGCAATGTTAAAATGAAGCAAAACTATATATATATTCAGAGACGAAGCGCCAGTGTAGGACCCCATTATTTTGAGTTGAGACCACTTCCAGGATCTAAGCAGCATGGTGTCTCACTACACAAAAACCCTGACCAACAGAAACTGTGTGCGTGCATGCATGTCACCACTGGAGAGTAATAATCCTGAATGGAGCATGAAAACCTCATTTGACCACTACTCTTTATGACTGATGTGTCTTCATCAATCAACAGGACACCCAATGGCCACTGTGTCATTGTAAGGAAGTACTTTATATGAAGTATAATGTTGATTTTGTGCCTGATTATTTGTATTTGCATCTGTAAGGAGTTGCTATAACTGCCAGAAGAACATTCTGTCTTTGTACACCATTGCTGAATACCCCAGGCATGTAATCAGGACCTGTCAATAGAACATCACGTTACTCTATTGCTGGAGGTTCGTCAGATGTTCGTGGGATGAAAAGCATGAGAATGAATGGCCATATTTTAGTGGCATTCATCACACAGAAATGTTGCAGTTAAGGTTTTAGACTAATAGAGTTGAGAAATTGAGTCTTGTGAATGCTCGGAAGTCATTTAGTGATGATATTTTTATTGATATTTGTGATGGAGCCATGCTGGTTTTGCCAAAGGCCTGAAGAATTGAAGTCATGAAGATGTTCAGTCATAAAAACTTACCTTGGTGTTTGAGGATAATGATGACATGGCATTGTGTCTTCGGAGCACATTGGGCCTTTGTGGTTCAGGATCTTGTCAGTGTCACCGAAAGGAAGTAATTTGTAAACCCTTTTGGAATGGATGCCATTGTTATTTTACATCACACAGAATTGATAAAAATATGGTCGATACATCTTTTGGAGACATACAATGAATGGTTGGTTTATACCACGTTGTTGCTTCATCATGGTCCATCACCCGAGTGCTTGACTGAAAGAACAATGATCCTCTACTTTAGGAAGATTTACTCGACACCAGTCATGGCATGGTGTAAAGACTTCTTCCTTATTCTGGCCCCAGTTGTATCAAGGATAATGGGGACTATTTTGACCTCAAATGCCTTGGACATTTAAAAAGGACTTAGGTTCTTTAGTCTTGTGCTCTGGAGCCTTGGGTTCTGGAGCCTTGTGCTGTGGAGCCTTGGGTTATGGAGCCTTGGGCCCTGGATTCTGGAGCCTTGGGCCCTGGACCCTTGGGCCCTGGAGTCTTGGCCCCTGGAGCCTTGGGCCCTGGAGTCTTGGGCCCTGGAGCCTTGGGCCCTGGAGTCTTGGGTTATGGAGACTTGGGCCCTGGAGTCTTGGGTTATGGAGCCTTAGGCCCTGGAGTCTTGGGTTATGGAGCCTTGGGCCCGGGAGTCTTGGGTTATGGAGCCTTGGGCCCTGGAGTCTTGGGTTATGGAGCCTTGGGCCCTGGAGTCTTGGTCCATGGAGTCTTGGGCTCTGGAGTATTTTTATGAAAGACTATAGGTCTCCTGCAACCAGTGCTAGTGTGTAGGGAAAAAAGTAAATCAGATGATCAGGTTAGGTGTCTTCACTTGTGGCATGTCATCACATACAAATTGTGAAGATTGATGCTCTTGATGCCAACCACTGCATTGGTACCTAGATAGAATGTTTCTGAAAGTAGCAAAATGCTACAGAGTAACAGCATAGACCCTTTATTTATTTTATTCATTTGTGTTTTGTTTCCTATTTTAAGTTTCAGTTGGTCTTGTAAACCAGCTTAGATGTATACAAGCCTAGACTGAGTGTTTGAATAACTCCCACTGAATTTACTCTGATGGAATCGAAGTGGTGTTTTGTCTTTGGAATAAGCAGTTACAAGCTCAAGATAGCAACTGTGTGTTTTCCTGTTCAATTCTGATCTGTCCTGTAACTGAATGATGTGATCTGGAGAATGAACTGACACAGCTTTGTTTCAGTTGGTAAAACCAAATTTGCAGTTAAGACTTTGAAGTAACAGCAGATAGTGGGAGGCATGGGTTCAATTGTCACCATTGATATGATGAAGTCCATTAATTTATCTCCTCCTGAGTTTTCTGTAAAACTCCCAATTGCAAAATAATAAATAATTAAATAGTTTGAGGAATGTTTTAATCAACATGAAAGGCTAAACAAGAACTCATGTCAAATAAAACAAATGAGTTTTGTTTGTTTTGTTTTGCGAGTGGTGTGAGTATCCATTTCCCTCGATGCGTTACTTCCTCTTCCCGCTGGGTTTGTTGCTAGACTGATATTCCAGTAATGCAGACTGCTCCACCGGAATCAGTGGGTGACCTAAATAGAAAGTTAATTGGCAGTAAGTAATTAGATGAAGCTCTCTAATCCTGGAATCAATGAAAGGCTTGCAGTAATTCTGTGTCATGTATTGTGCTATTCCATTCATGATGCTGAAGACAACTTGTGTCTTTCATAAGAGCTGATCCTATTGTATTCCATCGGTCATCAGTATGGTGCGATTGTTTCATTCTTGAAGGTCATGTGCTATGAATGTGTGCTTATATGTTGTGTCCAAAATGCATATATTTTGAAGGCTGTGTCCTATGGATGTATGTTTCTTTGTTGTGTCATATGAATGTGTGCTACTAAGGGTTCAATTCCCATTATGGGTATAATATGTGAAGCCCATTTTGGGTGTCCCCTGCTGTGATATTATTGTTGAAATATTGCTGAAAGCGGCTTAAAACCATACTGTCACTCACTCTTCTATTGAGTGAGTTTAGTTTTACGCCGGAATCAGCTATATTCCAGCTATATGGTGGCGGTCTGTAAATAATCGAGTCTGGACCAGACAATCCAGTGATCAACAGCATGAGCATCGATCTGGGCAATTGGGAACCGATGACATGTGTCAACCAAGTCGGCAAGCCTGGCCACCCGATCCCATTAGTCGTATCTTACAAGTCATGGGTTACTGAAGATCAATATTCTAACCCGGACCTTCACAGGTCTCTTCTATTGAGTACCCATTCACAGCAATGTGAAAAAGCAGCATAATTCAAACAAGTCACTCTTCCAAGGAGACACTAAATGTTTATGATCTTTAGGTAGCCATAAATTCACAGTTATTGTGACGTAATATGCAAGGAAAACATTTCCTATCATGTGATTTCCTGAAGGTGATGACCTCAAAGAATTAACATGAGATGCATCATGCTCTCTGCATCATTATCTCCATGTTAACGGAAAGGGTTTCCTTGATGACAGTGCAGGGTTTGGTTGATGACAAATTCATGATGCTTGTTGACTGCAAAGGATGACTCATATATTGTGTTCATGGGCTCAACATTAAGAGTTGGGAGTTAGATGGCCTTTTGACTGGGTAAAGTATCTTTCTGGGAAGGGCCGTCTCCATGGTGTAGTGGTTAGAGCGTCCACCCAGAGAGTGGAAGATTGCTGGCTGCATCAGACCAAAAGACATTAAAATATGGTACTTGTTGGTCCCTGTCTGGTGCCCGGCATTAATGGATATACCAAGGACTGCTCAGCTCAGAGTCAGAATAATGTGTTTGAGTGGGGTATTCATTCTTAACTATGGGGGGTGGCGGGGTAGCCTAGTGGTTAAAGCGTTGACTCGTCACTCCGAAGACCCGGGTTTGATTCCCCACATGGGCACAATGTGTGAAACCCATTTCTGGTGTCCCCCGCTGTGATATTGCTGGAATGTTGCTAAAAGCGGCGTAAAACTAAACTCAGTCAGTCAGTCAGTCTTAACTATGGCATGGTATCTCAGTGAGCTAGCACTATAAAACTGGGCTAGTACAAGTAGCCACACATACACACGCATGCGCGTCGTCACATGAGCGAAACGCGTCGTCACATGAGCGAAATATTCGCAGGTACGACGTTAAACCCAATTTCACCCAACCTCACCGCTGGGTAAGATACCATGGTGTCACAGGTTTGAATCGAACAACTGTCCTGATAATGATCCTTGATGTTGTCCTCAGTCGGGTTAATACTTGTGTGGAAAGCATGGATGTTTGGAAAAATATGTGTGCATTATTTACTTTTATATTATCAAAAATATTTTCTGAAGTATTACATTTGAAATCATCCATGCAGATTTGAAGTTATATATATTAAATCTTAGTTTGTCATTATTACATTTGATGTTATCAGTATATGTTAAATCGTCCCAATCAGGTTTGAAGTTGATGTTAAATTTGAACTTGTAAATATTTCATTTAATGGTGTCAACATTACATTTGAAGGTGTCACAAGTAGATTTCATGTGATCAATATTACATGTGAACTTGTTAATATTAGTTAATTTGATGTTATTACTGTTTATGAACTGGAAAAGTTGAAAGAATTATTTTGAATGATATTATGTTTTGAATGACACTCACATAATTTGATCTGTGTATTTTGTTAATAGTGTTTTCAAACTATTAATGTTTTGGGCTAAATATAATTCCAGAACCACTATCAAATTTCATTTTCAATTAATGACTAGGATCTTGAGCATAAATGGTGCATCTGACCACCATCAGTGTCCTAGGTACTAATGATGTCATTTGATTATATTGTCATAGTAACTGATGATGTCACAATCGTTAGCATTGTGCTACAATTTCATTGTAGGATGTTTCCTAGGATCTGATGATCTCATCCGAGTGGTTTCTGTGGAAGATAATTTGGAATGATGTAATACCTATATGGTCAAAACTATTTCATTTATACAATTATTTTCTATGGCAACTCATCAAGATGTTGTGGGCAAAATATATTTTCAGTGTTTGACATGTGCTTGGTTTCTTCAGTTTTCAAATTTGAAGATAAGCATTTTGAAAATAGCCGCTTGAAAATAGCCGCATTGTATCCCCAAACAACATATTTACCTTTTTAAAAACAGGCCTCATACATAAAACATGAACCATCATTCTGACTTTAATGTACAGTGTGGAGATGATTCTGTGTTGAGGCTATGGAAATTAATGGATTATGTAAGTGTGTTTGACATAAGTAAATGTACTGTCAGAATATAATGGCTGACAAGGCAAGATGGAATAATGATATGTTTGACTGAGGTTGAAGATATTGAGTATTGCTAATCATACAGTTAGATCAGCTGCGTCTATGCATTCTTTGCTGCAGGCAAATCTAGAAGCCCAGATTCTGCTGGTGACTTCATCATGTCTTCACCTAGAAATATGCAGATAGAGATAAAAATCAATATATCCAGACAATTATTACAAACACAGGTCAACTCTCCCAGCACCTTCTGTCCCAGCCAATCGGGTGTAATCTACTCAGGGAAATATGTAATCTAGCCGGGTGATATCATGCTATATCACACAGCAGCACATCATTTATTTCTGCCCTCTGTGGACGACATGAAGAATGAATGTCTCTTCCAGGCAGTCCCACATGGCATTGTGTTGCCGGGATTACCAGCAGGGGAGATAACTCTGACTTATATAGCTGTCCCTGGTCGCAGTCAGCCAGGATGATGGTGGAATGTCCCATTTTCATTGTGGAATTAGTTGAACAGAAATATTTCACATGTTCTCAAGAGATTTCACCATGAATACAGCTGTAGGGATAGTTGTTAAGACAAAGCTTATGTTGTAATGCCGGTGTTTGGTTTTATCCTTGCTTAAATCGAGAAGACTGACTGATTGATTGGAGCTCTGTATTAAATATTGACGACATCACAGTGTTATTGCCTATCTTGATTAAGATTGATCAAATCGATGTTTATGGGTGCTAAGGTCTTAGCCGTGTCGTCCTTCATGGGCGTCAACATTTTTCACAATTTGGGGTTTGTCTTGATTGAAGAGGTCAATTTTTAAGAGAGAATTTATGGATGTCTGTGTCTTAATTATTAATTAAATTAAGAACTTAGCATTTTGGAGAATATGCTTACTCTTTCATCAGTTGAATGTATGCATCTAGTCTGAAAGGTGTTGGCCAAAGTATAAAGAAGCTAACTATAAATACTCTCTAAAATGTGTTTCATTTCTAAATGCCATTCAAATACTTTGGAAATTATTGTTTTAATTTTATTAGTTAGTTTACTTAGGAAAATTAGATTGCATGTATTTGAAAAAAAATATATATGTGTACATGGATGTACAAACAGGGTGGAACTTGCAGATGTTGAGGATTTCCCTTAGTGTCTATCAATCGATCACTCACTCGCTCACCCGTGAAGGTCCCGGTTAGAATTGAAGGCGACTAAAGGGATCGGGTGATCAGGCTCATTGGCTTGGTTGACACGTCATCGGTTCCCAATTGAGCAGATTGATGTTCATGCTGTTGATCACTGGATTTTCTGGTCCAGACTCGATTATTTACAGACCGCTGCCATATAGCTGGAATATTGCTGGCTTGTGACTCACTCACTCATTCGCGTGAAAGTTGCTAAACTCACTCACTCACTCATTCACATACACCCACACTTGCTCACTCCAACACTTGCTTACACCAACACTTACAGACTCGCTTACATACGCCCATGCTTGCTCACCCCCACCCCCACCCTCACTCACTCAAACCTGTTCATTTACCAACCCATTCACTCCCTCACAGTATGCCTTCCAGGGATTCCGAAGCCTGGAGACCATGTTCAGGAATAAATCATCTTTATGTTCCTCATGCTCCAAGAATTAAATACTCCCTCAGCGATTACCTCGGCTGGGTTTACGTTTTATGTGCAGTGTAAGGATGCTGGTGATGATATGGGTCATTTATTGATCGTTATCGGAAGACAAGTATTGCCTTCTATCTCCAGACATCAGGGACAGTACCAGGTTACTGCCATCAAACAACTCACAACTGTTAAGGTCAATATACTTTTGTTTCTCCTCAATGTTATTGCCATGGAGACAATATTTGTGTTTTGTGTATGTATACACTTATGGCAAAGTGAAGCTTTGAAAATCGTAGTCCTAAAAAATCGTATATTAAACCCAGCCAGACATCAGAATGGATTTAACCAGACCAGACACCAAGATATGGTGAATTTACTCAGATTATGAAACATCTAAATGTTTTATCAGACCATCGGGCTGGTTAGCTGTAAATTTAGACCGTCCGTCAGAAATCTAGCCTGTCTCGGGCTGTCGGACGGGCCTTATTTCATACACTGGTTACAGTCAGTCTGTCAAACCAGTCATTTAGTCAAATGACTGATCAAATGACTAAAACGATCAGTCATTTGGTCAAAAGACTAAAATTTATAGCTGGAATATTGTTGATAGCGGCCTTAAACAACCAACCATATCGTTGTGGAAGTAATGACTTTCTTGTCACAAATCGAGCAGAATTTTTCTCATCAGAGTAATTTGATTGGCTGGACTTGAGCATCATGTGATTTGACTCCGGTCTCAAACTAAGCAGTTACAGCAGATTGGGTCATGTTTTTTTTTATTTATATACACGTGAGGTATTGTAGTGTGGATAACAGAGGGTGTGATATACTGTATGAATTATTTTAAATGCTTCACTAGAAAATTAAATATTCTGTTATTGATAATTGTATATCCTTGTGTTATACCATGGCAATGATAACTGATTGGTTCCTATCTATTCTTGGTGCCAATGGTGCCAATGATTCCATCTTATGCCAGGCAGTGTGGTAGCCGACGATGGTCACACCAAAAACCATGATACGATTCCCCACATGAGTACAATGTGTGAAGCCCATGTCTGGTGTCCTCTACCGTGATATTGCTGGAATGTTGCTAAAAGCGGCGTAAGACTAAGCTTACTTGCTTACTCCATCATATGTCAAGATTAATAACAATTATTTCCCAAATTCTCAGTTGTTGTCTTGGAAGTGACAGTGTATGTGCTTTGAGGATTTTAACCTTTTCAGCTCTGTGCTTCTCCCATTAGGTTGCTTTGATCAGACTAGTGTCTGTTCCAAGCTGTGAACATGATAAAGATCAAGTATTGACTTTTTTTTTGTTAAGGCTGTAGGTTTTTCCCAACCGTTTACCACTAAGTTTTGTCTCTCTGGCAAACAGTGGTCATGAATAATTGGGATTAAAATTTGTGTTGGTGAAAATGCTGTTTGTGTGTAATGCACTGATGCTTTGGACTTCCCAAAGGCCAAGTACCGAATGTAGGTTCCAAGTATTCCATGTAAGCCCTGAATGAAGGCTCCCTATACCCCATGAAGGATCCACATACCCCATAGAAATTACAAGGCGGTGGGTTAGCCTAGTGGTTAAAGCATTTGCTCGTCACGCTGAAGACCCGGGTTCGATTCCTCACATGGGTAAAATGTGTGAAGCCCATTTCAGGTGTCCCCCAGCGTCATATTGCTGGAATGTTGCTAAAAGCGGTGTAAAACTAAACTGACTCACTCACTATAGAGATTACACAGACCCATGTATTTCTTTTTATGTATGGAACAACTTGACCTGTTACTGCTATGATTTTCCATTGCTAAAACAGTATGTTGACTTGTAATAGTCCAGTTACAACTTATATGACTTTTAACAAGTCAATGTATGTCATTTATAATATACATATCCATTTCTGTCAGCTACTGTTCGTTTCAGGGCAGCAGTAGTGGTCATACAGTCATGGATGTTGTGAATAATGGAAACAGAAGTTTTAGAGGGACACACGATTTTGCTGCAATTAATATAACATTAAATGCAGTTTTGAATACAATTAATTAATTAAACAACAAACATAAGTCCAGATATGCAATGAAAATGTATTATTTCGAGATAGTAAAGCAGCAGGATTAAATTGTGTGATCATGACGTGAGGTGTGGCTAGCAATGGTAACGTCCAGCTTATGTACTGGATGTACCATTTTGATACAGATTTAAAGGTCAAGTAGGGACCTTGGCTTATCTATGAGATCAACGTATATGGTAGGCCCTGCATCAAGGTTCCATATACCCCATGAAGGCCCAGTACTCGCCATCATGGTTGCGTACACCCGATGTAGGTTCCGTATGCCTGTGCAGGCTCTGTATCACCCATGTAGGCTCCATATGCCTGTGCAGGCTCTGTATCACCCATGTAGGCTCCATATGCCTGTGCAGGCTCTGTATCACCCATGTAGGTTCCGTATGCCTGTGCAGGCTCTGTATCACCAATGTAGGTTCTGTATGCCTGTGCAGGCTCTGTATCACCCATGTAGGTTCTGTATGCCTGTGCAGGCTCTGTATCACCCATGTAGGCTCCGTATGCCTGTGCAGGCTCTGTATCACCCATGTAGGTTCCGTATGCCTGTGCAGGCTCTGTATCACCCATGTAGGTTCCGTATGCCTGTGCAGGCTCTGTATCACCCATGTAGGTTCCGTATGCCTGTGCAGGCTCTGTATCACCCATGTAGGTTCCGTATGCCTGTGCAGGCTCTGTATCACCCATGTAGGCTCCGGTAAACCCATCTAGGTTCCATACACCCCATGAAAGCTGGGTACTCCCCATCATGGTTGCGTACACCCGATGTAGGTTCCGTATGCCTGTGCAGGCTCTGTATCACCCATGTAGGTTCCATTTAGCTCATCAAGGTTCCATACACCCCATGAAGGCCCAGTACTCCTATCTTGGTTGTGTACACCCAATGTAGGTTCCGTACGCCTTTGCAGGCTCTGTATCACCCATCTAGGTTCAATATACTCCATGAAGGCCCAGTACTCTCCATTTGGTTGTCTACACCCGATGTATGTGTTTTAAACCTGTATAGGTTTTGTATCACCCATGTAGATCTTGAATACCTCGTGATACAGGTTCTGAATATGCTCCTGTATACCCAATTCTTGTTGAAAAAGCTGATTGAAATGAGGATCTGGTGACTGACCAGATCGATATGCCATCATCCCCAGATGATATCAACCAGTGGTAAGCCAGGCCTATACCTAATTACAAGCAGGCATGATATTATGTAAGCTTAATATAATTGACAGCAGCGTGAAACGAAATCCCCCCTGGCACCATAGCTTATTCACTTATTGATGTCTTGATGCCAGTTTGTTTTGTCCTCTGATTGCAGATCCCAGCCTGAAGTCAATAAAAGCTGGATTGACCCCTGTAAGATTTCCCATACACATATAATAAACAATACATACCCAATCTTAAAGGCCGATTAAGTCAGTTAGCAATTTTCTCTACAAGAAGGTAATTTCACCAGTCCATTGCCTTGATTGAAGAGTAATTGTACCTTTGTGGCGAAGCAATTAGGCCAGTTGTTGCCCTTCGATCAATGATCGCAGGATTTTGATAGGTCACTCGCAGATGACCATATAATCATGCCTGGTCAATATCACTGTTATACCCCATGTGATAAATTGATAAATTGCGCAGTGTCAGAAGTATTGGTCGAGGATTGTGGTGGATCCTTTCTGTAGTTGTATTGTATAATTAGATATTCTAAGGTATGTGGTCCTGTGTTCAGTGTAGGTTACAGATCAGGGGAAGTTAAACAACCTTGGTCATTGGGTGGTAAAGGATGGGGATGGTAATGTGAATATCAACCTTCTTGTTCCTCGGAGGCTGCTTGGGTTGTATACTCCCTCGGAAGCTGAGAATCATAATTGAGAACACCCTGATCCATTGACCAGGGCAATATTTATTTTGTTCTTTAAGCATGCCCCTGTGCGGAGTGGAAATAGAGTGCAAGATAAATCCTTAATATTGTGACAGTGTCTCATAACTGTGTAGTGTTCTGGTGTTTTATTAATCTCCTTATTGTATGATTGGGTGTTGTATAACTGAAATGGTAAATCATCATACTCAGTGAGGTTTAACTGCAGGTTTCATATTTTCATTGACATGTTTGTTACCTCCAGTTTCTTGACCTGAAATTAATGACAATGTTTTTGACAATTCGCATTACATGAAATAAGAGTTTCTTCAAAACTTGCATCCAAGATTGGAGTGTGAGTATTATACCCAAGTGCACGCTAGGCACAAGAAGTATGGTAATGATATAAATACTGCAGAATCTGTCCAAGCTGGACTTGTGTGGCGCCAAAAGTTTGGTCTTGTGTAGACAGAGATCTGCAATACTGAGATGCTGGAATCAACTCCTTCCGGTGTCAATGATGTTTCGACATTTATTGGAAATACATGACCTTGCAAGCCTTTGATTAAGCTCGTAATGTATAATTTTTAAGTAATGTATCGTGAAAACTAAAGCTCTAAATTGGAAAAAGCTTCTGAAGTGTTATCATGGTTGGAAACAATGTGTTCAGCCAGGCCTGTTCTGCTGAGCTTAATGGATTGTAGAAGTGGGAAGTGTGAGAAGATCATCCGGTTTAGGGAACATCATTTACATGATAAATTGATGCTCTGTTCCTCAGTTTCAGTCTGTGTCTACGCAATGACATTTAGAAAGTGGTCAAATGACTAGCATCCGTTATATTTGTAAGTAAACTTCGTTAGTAAAATTCTAGTACTTTTGGGGTTGAGTGCCATCTTGTCTGAGGCATCGGAACACCAGCAATCATTTAAAATGTTCCATAAGTGATGCTTTCACAAAAATGAAAATCAACCATTGGTAGTCAGTGGGGGTAGCGGGGGTAGCCTAGTGGTTAAAGCATTTGCTCATCACGCCGAAGACCTGGGCTCGATTCACCACATGGGTACAATGTGTGAAAGACACTTCTGGTGTCTCCCGCCGTGATGTTGATGGAATATTGCTAAATACGGCATAAAACTAAACTCACTCACTCACTCTTCAGTGGCTGAGTGGGTTAGATCGCTGACTTTGTGTGCTGGTTATTTGGTGTTCACATCAGAGAGTGTAAATCGAATCCCAGTTTGAACTCAACCCCAAGAATTACCAGAATTTGTTCTTTACTAAAATATATTACCCCAAATGTGATTGAGTGAGTTTAGTTTTATGCTGCTTTTGGCAATATTTCAGCAATATCATGGCGGGGGACACCAGAAATGGGCTTCACACATTGTACCCTGTCAGCAGGTTATAATGAATCTAACACAATTTTCAGTATGATAGTGGGTGATTGTGTGAGGCAGGGCTATTAGTCTCACGTAATGACAACTTAAGAAACTGAATGCATTAACTGAATGCATTAGCCAAACAGATATCTCATGCACAAGACAGAGCTTAAGCCTTAATGAGGTACTCAAGAACTTCATTAAAGGCGATTATGGAATCTTCACAAAGGTTTCCAACATCAGACAATCTTTCCGACTCCACTGTTCGTCTTTAGGATACTACACGATGGTAGGCACTGATATCAAGCTCTCAGTTCAAATTGAATTATGGGAAATCCTGATCTTCGAATCAGATCTTCTGTTGGATTTACATTCATTTTACACGGACCAAGACACACCATTCTGACGCTGTAATGCTGTCTCTGGTTTGGAATTTCGGACTGGAACTGAATGTGACTGAATGGATTGTGTGGCAAGGCTCCTTTAATATATGCATAGAAGCCATTGCCCAAATATTTTTATTTTTGTTTTATTTATTTTTTTAAATTTTAATTTGTTGATTATTATCACAAATTACATCTTTTGATCTCGAGAAATTTCCCACATCAAATTGTTCAAGCAATAACTTGACAATCATTTAATGGATTGTTTTCAGATTTGAATAATGGATTCTTTCTTTAAAAGAAAGGTGCAGTGGAAGGTCTGTTACAAATCTTATATTTTTGTCAAGAATAGTCATTATTAATTGTCTTCAGCTGAATTTAAGAGTCACGGTCAAGGATATTAGTGAGCCTTGCTCACATGTTATATGTTGTTTGTATGTTGATTTTCAAATTTCATGTGATAAAAGTATGGCTTCTTTCAAATCTTACACAAGGGGGCCGGTGGGGTAGCCTAATGGTTAAAGAGTTGGCTCGTCACGCCGAAGACATGGGTACAATGTGTGAAGCCCATTTCTGGTGTCCCCCGCCGTGATGTTGCTGGAATATTGCTAAACGCGGCGTAAAACCAAACTCAGTCAGTCTTACACAAGGAGTCTTTCAGTTGCCTGGGTCTGGGTTAAAAAAAATCAATGATACTAAACTGTGTATAGATGTGGAAGATAATAGTAATGTCATATTTTAAACTGTTGATATTCTATCAGTTGCTCACCTAAGGTAATGGGCGGCTGGGTAGCCGAGTGGTTAAAGCGCTCGTTCGTCACGCCAAAGACCCGGGCTTCATTCCCCACATGGGTACAATGTGTGAAGCCCATTTCTGGTGTCCCTCACCATGATATTGCTGGAATATTGCTAAAAGCAGTGTAAAACCCAACCTACTCACTTACTCACCTAAGGTAATGGCTAGTTAATCAATGCTCAGTGATTAACATAAAATGATTACTGGTATGAAGTTTGGTACTCCCAAATCTATGCTTTAGCCAGTAAGAGACATTTGACAGCATCAAATTCTAAGACTGGTTGATTTGGTCGATTTTAGTTGATCCATGTCATCAATCTCAACTGTGTGGCTAAAAGCTCATGTCAGTCACTGGATTGTCTGGTCCAGACTTGATTATTTACATACTGCCATCATATAACTTGAATATTGCTCTGTGCAGCATTAAACAACAACAAACAAACAGTTTACTTCCTTGTTATCATGTGCATCCTGACATATCACTTTGTACCGGTGAATTATCTCTACATCTGTTTGAGTGTCAGTGATAAACAGGACAGCTATGTAATATGGAGGCTGATGTGCCATGAGGTCCATGGAATACTGTGAGATTTATTGGTGTATATTTACTTATACTAGTACACCCTACAATACTGTATTTACCACTGATTGGAACCTTGTACCCATCATCTGTCATAAGACAATCATATGAAGATGGCTACCTACAATGTATGACTTTATTGATAGGATGCCTCCCCTGACAGTGCAGATAAGTGCTCAGATATGAACAATGTTGTTTGTCTGAACCACATGGGATTATGTCATGGCTGTCATGTTATTGCTGTTTTATTGTTGACTGTGGCATTTATTGCTCACTGTCATTCCTATGTCTTCAGTATGTATAGCCCAGGTATCTGTGGGTATATTGTATATATACTACCTCACATGCTTTAAGGTCATGACGACCTCTTATCAGGCCAACTCGAGATTATAGTAGGTTGCCTTTACTGTCATGATGATATGAACCCAGAACTAACTACAGTGTACTCTGTCAATACCGGCATCACTCGGGACCAAATAAAAATGCCGGTTTTGACAGAATGCCGGTTTAGGCGGGTCAACTCACATCTTGCACGTTTTGCCGGCCGAGACATTTTGGCGATACTGACTATTACACTGTTGACATTATACGATTTTACCTTAAATACCCTCGAATCAACTAAACTCTTGCTGGTTTTTACAGTCAAACTGCCCATGTAAGTGACACGTACCACTCACTAATTAACAAGACACTGATTGACACTTCCCGTTCCTGAATAATCTCTGGAGTCAATACCCTCGAATCAACAACATGTAAACACTTGCTTGTTTTTACAGTCAAACTGCCCACTACATGTATTAATTACTCTATGTAAGTGGTGCGTACCACTCACTGATTAACATCATTTGGACCTAATTACATCAAAGGGTTACGCCGTCTTTCATGTGCCGGTTTTTACAGATTCGTTTTCATAACAACTTGTTCGTTGGGACTGAAAAACAATGCCGATATCCTGAATAGACAGATGCCGATGTTTACAGATGTTTCTAAATGATAATTATGTGCATTTCTGCCGGGACTGAAACTTTGTGCCGATGTAGACAGAGTGCCGGTGTTTACAGAGGCCGGTATTGCCAGAGTCCACTGTACATTTGCTGCAAGGATTATCTAACATTTTAATGGCATATGTGCTGATAATATTTTACCTGTTAGTATGAGACACATCTCGGTCTCTGACTGAACATAGGGATCAGATGTAATGTTAGTTTGACGCAGACATGTTATCGAACATAAACATCAGGTTTTACATCAGTCTCAGGTAGATCTGAGTCATCTCAGGTAGATTGAGCATCTGCAGCATGTATAACATCAGTTACAGGAATACCTGTAATCGAACATAAGCACAGGTGTAACTCAGATAGACAGGTGATTGAATATTGACATCAGGTATAACTGGTATGTTTTGTATCACTTTGCACACTGTGAATTAAAATGACCAAGTATAAGAGTAAATATACTCATGGAAACGAATTAGGGAACACATGAAAGTACAAGTGTTCCTTTATTCTTTTCCAGGTTTCTTCACAAGGAATGTATTGCACTGTGGGTGAAATTCTGGAAATAAATAAAGGAACACTTGTACTTTAATGTGTTCCCTTATTTGTTTCCATGAGTATATATCATCTACAACACTTGACTTTATACATTTTAGTGGAATTCTTACCTTACCTGGACTCCCCATTCCTTATGTTAATACTGAACAAAATGTTACAGAAACTTAATGTATGTCTCCAAATAGTGCCTGACGAAATATGACATTGTTTTGAGCATAATGAATTGTTCAAATTTGTTTTTCAGACTGTTGATTAGTAAGACTGTGTCTGCTGCCACCAGGGGGTGCCACTGCCGCCTCCATGTGGTTGCTACCCGAGCCTACCATGGGCTACGGAAGGAGTAAGCATAGCTCCAAAAACAGCTCCGATGACTCCGCCGACCGAGAAGTAAAACAAGCGCAGAAACTACTCGCAAAGACAGACAAGAGCAATAAAATAGGTATGTTTTAATTTTATTTTAATTTTTAATACCTGATTCTTGTATGTTTTGTCACAGAAGACAATGTGGTTAGTTTATTGTGGCCATGGAATCACATCTGTTCTGGGACTGTTTGCTCACTACTGACTACTTAAGCAACAGTAGTGTATAATGCATTTATCATACCATGGATACAGCTGGTTCAGTTCCCACTGGTCCAAACATTATTGATGGGATCCCCTTAATTATATTGTTGGGAGTTGTCACAAACTTGATGCATCACTAATATAACCATAGCAGGGGTGGATGGGCAGCCTAGTGGTTAAATGTTCTCTCTTCACGCCAAAGACCCGGGTTCAGCGTGTGAAACCCGTTTCTGGTGTCCCTGCTATGCATTGCTGGAATATTGTTAAAGTGGCGTAAAACCATGCTCACTCACTATAGCCAAAGCTCCAATTATATTCAAGTTGTAGCAGCAGTTGAGTTATCTCCCTTTGCAGCATATTTAAAAAAAAAAAAGATCAAAATCAACTGGAAATTACATATATTCATTGAACGAATTGTCCGTCCAAAACAATAGTCCTTTGGCAGTGGCTGTTTTTGAGATATGCCAGCAACAAATCAGTACATTATTATAGTGAGTGAGTGAGTTAAGTTTTACGTCGCTTTTAGCAATATTCCAGCAATATCATGGCGGGGGACACCAGAAATGGGTTTCACACATTGTACCCATGTGGGGAATCAAACCCGGATCTTCGGCATGACGAGCAAACGCTTTAACCACTAGGCTACCCCACCGTCCCGTATCTTATTAGGTATGATGGTAACTTGAATGCAAAAGCTTGTCTTGGACAAGCAGTTTAGGTTGTATTGGGAGCAGAAAATTTTATTTGAATGCACACTTTTGCTTTCACGTGTAATTTTCCTGGCGGAATGGCTCAAAGCTCTAGGTCGATTCAGGTTTTCTGCCAATGTTACGCACGTATGCTGTCATAAGTAGTATATGACTCCCACATTCATTCATTCACCAAAATCTAGGGGGTATTTTTTGAGTGTTCAAATGTAGCCTTCCCTGCAAATGTTTGCATCTTCGAAGAAAGACAAAAACCTTTCTTCCAATTGTATTTGCAGCAGTTTATTGATTTCTTCTGACTAGACATGGGATTTGTAGTTCTATTTAATCTAAAAATAACCAAGATTTATTCCCTTGCCATTTTTGTGGCTCATAGTTTCACCGTGATATCTTGCTTTTCATAATTGCTGGGACAGTAATGGCCCATTCAGTTCTGTTCATGCTCGAGTGTGGAGATCGATCTACAAAGTTGGTCGTGGAGATTAAACCATCAAATATGAAGGTGTCTGTGTCAGTTTTTGTGTCTGTGTTGGCATCTGACCCGTGAAGATCCGGGGTAGAATAGGTCTTCAGCAACCCATGTGCTTGCCATAAAAAGGCGACTATCTTGTCGTAAGAGGCGACTAACGGGATCAGGTGGTCAGTTTCGCTGACTTGGTTGACATTACATGTCATCGGTTCCCAATTGGCGCAGATCGATGCTCATGCTGTGTTGGCATCTGTGTCTTTTTGGTGTGCCTGGGTGGTGATGTTTCTGTCTGTATGTCTGTGACTGTGACTGTGGTTTTTGTGTCTGTGTTCATCAGTATCTAGAGAGTGAAAAAGTCAGAGAGAAACTGAAAGATATATATAATGCTCGAGTATGGAGCTGACTCAAAACCACTTGGACCTACAGCTTTTGTTTTCTGCAGGTCCTTATGGCTGACAGCTTTTCCATCCCAAAAACTTAGAGTATTATTTCCAATTAAAGTGGGCGGTGGGGTAGCCTAGTGGTTAAAGCGTTGGCTCGTTACGCCGAAGACCCGGGTTCGAATCCCCACATGGGTACAATGTGTGAAACCCATTTCTGGTGTCCCCCGCCGTGATGTTGCTGGAATATTGCTAAAAGCAGCGTAAAACCAAACTCCGTCAGTCAGTCCAATTAAAGTCCCCCGCAGTGATATTGCTGGAATACTGCTAAAAGCGGCTTAAAACCAAATTCAGCCAGTCAGTCCAATTAAAATGTAAGGCCTGATCATTCCGATCAGGACCCACAACTTTTTATGGTTATAGGTCCTTAGAGCCTGCAGCTTTTCAGGGTTAAGGACAAACACTGGTTTAGAGATCGATCTACAAAGTTGTCGTGGAGATTAAACTATCAAATATGAGGGTGTTGGTGCCTGCATCAGTGTCTGGTTGTCAGTGTCTGGTTGTCTGTGTCTTTGTGGGTATGTTTCTGTGTTCGTCAGTGTGTGGAGAGACCGACTGACAGACACAGAGACCAAGAGAAACTGGGAGAGACTGATGTATATATATCATGGTATCAGGTTGGAGCAAAACCCAAACTGAGGCTGATTCCGCGGAATGAGAAGACACCCTCGAGCATTTAAACATCCTGATTCATCCACATTCAGTGTAGCTCATTTGGCTCTTGGGCAGAATCACCTCAAGCATGTACTGCAATTGAGAAATCCTGAATTCATTGAACAAAGGTGTTCCTAGTAGAAATGCACAAATGCAAATTGATTCAAATTTTGTGATTCCCTTAACACTCATGGACCCAGCCAACTCAATCTTTTCTGCGAAATCCTGATCAACAAAAGAGCTGATGAAACATGGAAGATCACTGCTTTCTTTGAGCCACAGAAGAAACTGACAAGGATGATGCAATCACGTGTTTCAGAAAAAGCTTGTTCTTCGGGAAACGAAATTGTTTGAACGTGCTAGGAGGTGCCTTCTTGTTTGAGATCGATACACACCGACCATTATAATCAAATTGAAGTGTTTTATCTGAGGAGTATATTTGAGTTTGTCGGTGTTAAGAATCAGGAGGATATTTATGAGAGGTGTCCTGTGTATTTTTATCTCGCGGAAATCAAAGTGTCGATGTGATGAAGTGGCCATTGATTCACCTTGGTTAGACCTGCTGTGGGGACTGCATGACCTCTCTGTGAATATTTTGTTGCGCTTCTTAAGTGCACTGGAAGATCTGAGGGAAGTTCCTGAGGACTAGATCCTTAGTCTTGCCGACATGGTTTTTCATACAGATATGGGGGCGATGGGGTAGCCTAGTGGTTAAAGCGCTCGCTGGTCATGCCAAAGACTCAGATTCGATTCCCCATATGGGTACAATGTGTGAAACCCATTTCTGGTGTCCCCTCCGTGATATTGCTGGAATATTGCTAAACCAGCTTATAACTACATTCACTCAGTCATGCAGATATGATGAAAAGCTAGTTGAACAGATTTGGCTAATTCAAGCTGTTATCATCTCCACTTGTCTTGGGGCAGTAAGCTAGTCTAGCCCTAAAAGTGTTTGCTTGTTTAGCTTCAAATCGGGTTCTGTTCTCATGGGTACAAATTATTTTTGACTGGCACTTACTCAGTCACTATCAACAAGTTGACCAATTCTGTCAGTCACGTGATCCAGGGTCTAAAACAACGTTCCTTCACCATTTTGCCTTGGGTGCCTGTTCAGTTTCTGCAACAAGAACTCAGAAATAAAACATATTAGGCCAGACCATGTTATTTAATCCCTAATGTTAATGAATAAGTATAATGAAGTACAAAAAATTTTGAAATCAGTATGTGAAATACCTAAACTCACTCACTCAACATATTTTTAGTTGATATAAACAAACCAAAAGAGTTAACATGGAAACTCATGTGGATTTTTTGCTTTGACTGGTGATTTCTTTTTAAAATTTAAATTTCCCTCCTGCTTTTAAGCTTTCTGAGGACAAAAATCTGTAAAACAAGAAATAAAATTGGTCTGGCCTTAATTAGAAAAACAACATTTGACAGGACTAAGTATTCCAATTTTCTTTTTTTTTATAATGACAATGTTTGTCAGTTGTGAAAAAAATCATCATTATGCAATATGCTGGAGGTGCATCATGAGTTTTCATGCAACGATATGGTACATCAGAAATATATAAATATTAATTAGAAAATCAACACTTGTCAGAATTAAATATTCCAAATTGTCATTCTTCCGAAAAGATATTAGTCACATGCAAAACCCATCATTCCACATGGGATGTATGCTCGAAGTACTGCATTATAGTTTCTGCAGTAATTGGATCTATGTGAACACTCTTCTGAACACTCCTGTAATTATGCAGCCCCAGCTGGCTGTTAATCACAAGAATGTTTAAAGTCAAATCACCCTCTCATCTTAACAGGTTGCCTAGTGGTTAAAGCATTCGCTCGTCACTCAGAAGACCCGGGTTTGATTCCTCACATGGGTACAATGTGTGAAGCCCATTTCTGGTGTCACCTGCCGTGATATTGCTGGAATATTGCTAAAAGTGGCATAAAACTATACTCACTCCTAACACTGCATGTTTTCAATTTTTGCATAATCCAGATAGGCTCAGTTTAAAAGGGGTAAATCATTTTGTCAAATCAAAAGTCAAATTGTTGTATAACACAGCACTTTTGTCGGTGTACTCCACATCCTTGTTATTCCATATATTTTCAATTTTTATGCCCCAACCATTTTACATAGTTATACCACGTAATTCCGTCTATCTGTCCAACAGTTATGTTTGAAAACTGTTTGTTTGTTTTCAAATTTGACTTCTTTGTCTAAAGCAGACATGCAGTGTAAATTTTGATCGTGATATTTGTTACCTTGTCAGAAATTACAGCAGTTTATATATTTGAACATGGAATGGTTTGTTCAACCAATAACTTGAAAAGTATTGGTATTAAGCATGCAAAATGTTTCCAAACTTGGAAAACAGCTCTTTGTCCTAAGAGGAGGTACAGTGCAAAGTTTGGCTCAGATTTTTTAATTTCTGAAAGAGTTTCATCAATTTACTTACCGGTAACTTGAATTTAGAAGAACACAAGGGAATTTTTTTCAGACAATCTCTTGAACACACTTGAATAGATTTTCAAATTTTGGGATCACCCTCCATATCTATAGGAGAGTTGCAGTACAAAGTTTGATTTTGATATTTTA